TGAGCCTCTTCCCTTCTGCTTCCATAACAGTTGTGTCCATGTCTGGACACTGGGCATTATATTAACTACTTAGTCCAGTAGCCAAAAGATTCCATATGCTTGAACAGATGACTATCTCCATACTGTGATGGGATATTTAACTGTTTAGGTCTAATATTGCAGTTGAAAGATTTAGTTCTAAATGTTACCTAATTTTTCAAAGTTTTCATAGTCATATTTTCAGATTATATAGATAAAATGCAAAATAAAATTGCAATGTTACATACACTCATTAACTTTTAAAGTTTAACATATTCATTTTGGAAAAGTGATTTTTTTGATTAAAAGACAGTGTGTTGATAAGATGGTGACAGGGATGTGTAATGTCCTAAAAAGTAAAATGTATTAAAATGAGAATACTGTTTTGGGCATGTAATTTTAATATACAATGTGACTGTTCATCATAATACAGCTAAGTCAAAGGCAATTCACATGTGGGTACAAAAACATGCCTCTGATGTATATTGTAGTCAGTTTTGAAAGGGGCGGCTGTTACCAAATCAGAAGTGGTAGAGCTTGAACACAGCCTGTTGGCAACCATGAACTTATTTTACAAAACAATAAAATCTACCTTATTTCTTCTGCAACTTGATTAGCAAATACTATCAATTATAGTAGAAATAATTGAAATAGAAACCAAAATTACGCACACAATTTAAATTTTGAATTGTATACCTCTCTGAACTCTCTATTACAGTTTTAAAGACGCTTTTATGGATGTCTAGAATATCCAAACTAGAATATTCATACCTGAAAACTATGTGGATAACCCAAGAATGCCTGTCATGACTTTCAGTATTTCTTTGTACACTTGCTGAACTGTATTTCTCACTTTCAACAAAAAGCTCCATGCAACATTAAAAAGCAAGTAAAAAACCCCTCAATATAGAAAACTATAAAGACCATTTCATCTTCATAGTTTCTATTTTGCAGAGAATTTTGAAAGTTTGCTTAACTATGATATAAAAACTACATGACATTTGATCTCAGTTCAAATTTGTGTGCAGCATCAAATACATTCAAAGGTAATTCCACATTTTACACTTCTGAATTCTCAGAAGTTAGAGTTCTAAGGCAGACAATCACTCTTAGCTCTTGTCATAGGAATAAAGATTTCAAACTGCGAAAAATTCACAAGCTATAGGAGTTCTCATCTTATAATCCTCTATTAGCAATGGATTCTAAAGCACTCTGTTGCTTGACTTCGAGTTTAGCTGCTAAATTACTCAGTGTGAACACAAAAGGCTATGGATGTGAAAAGCTTTGTTTCTGAATTTTTCTACACCCTAACATACAGTAACATATGCACTTCAGTGAATTCAAAGCAGCAAAACATTAATATTGTAGGAAATTAATTTTTTAACATACTGGATGAAATAATGAAAATACCTTGCTAAACAGAACTTGAGACTCTAAGGACAGGTTCTGTAACAGGACTTATTCATACTGACTTTTCATTAGTCAATTAATTTCCCTTGGTACATGCTGACTAATATGGTTGTTAGTCCTTACCAGTAATACAGCTTCAAGTTGAAAATAAAGGAGGGCTTTAATAAAAGTGTTACCCTTCCTCCCAGCAAAAATAATTATCTACTTAAAAAAATATCACTTAAGTGATAAAAAATTGGGAAGAACAGGAACAGAATGATGAACATTATTCAGTATTTTGGGGCAGGGATGTTCTTGGATTTACCAATTATTTCTAGTAATTAAAGAAAAATAATAAAATACAACAGGAGAATACTTTAATTCTAATATAGGGCTTTCGCAAGTATAAAACACTGGCGATGAAGTCCCTCGAATCACACTCTGTAGCACAAGAAGGTTGGGGGTTTTTTTACATTAGGTACTAAGCCACACAGAGTATCATACAGAAAGAGCCCTTACTTGTTTTTACAATATTACTTCAATTTGGAAAGTGTAACGACAACTGAAATCCCTTTTCAGTCTTCAGTCCTTGATCAATGCTAGATTTTAAAAGTGGAAGTAATTTTCCCTTTTCAAATGCACCATCTGATTTCATAGGCACAATGCATTTTCAGAAAGCAGTAGAAAGACTTGAAAAATAACCTTCCATCAACTATTTTAATCATACTCGTAAGTATCTCAATATTTATTACCTGACAGACAGTGTAAGATAAGAGTATGTTCAATCAGCAGAAAATATCAATCAAGTAAAACTTGTCACACATCATCTGAATAAAATTCATAATTGGATAAGTTTTTAGTGTCATTTTCTTGAAATCCTCTCCCAGAATAATGTATTCCTACTTTTGTGGTTGAGAAAAGAGAATTTTCTTTTTTCTTCATGCATTGTTTGCACTAGAATTTTCTCAATTAAACACAAAGAATCTGTGTTCTTTAGGGGACTACAATTTCTTTAAATTATTCTGAAAAAACTCTGTACACAAACAGATGTTTTGTAAATTTGTGTCTTTTACCAGAAGACTGAAGACATTCAGTGTCCCATCAAACTGGGTGAATGAGCATCATATTTGGAAAAACATAATTCAAAGTTATTAAATCCAAGACAATGAATAGCTAGAATAATGAAAGAGCCACATTGGTGGATGAGTACCACAGAGCAGAAAAGCATCAAGAACAAAATCACTGCTTAATGTTCAGTAGTCATCAGAGACCAAGCCGACATCAGAATGTAGGAAAACTGAACAAACAATAAGAGCATCATTGTATTATGTTACTGTAACAAAGTAAGCTATGACTAAAAGAAATGTGACTGTTCCAAAGCAGATTAAGGAGGCAGCATGAGGAAAAAAAGGAAAACAAGCAGAATACAGAAAAGATAAAATAGGGAGCCTCATATTATTGTCTCATCAGCCACGAACAAAGATATAATTTATGAAAAAGGTAAAATTAAACTTTCTGGAAAAGAAAGAAACCAGGCAGATTCAATTTGTGAAACCCCCTGTCACAGTACAACATGTGAAGCATTTGGCAAAATATGTAAAAGAAACCAATCTCAAACTATGTACAATTCCATATATATATATGCATTATTCATATACTACATATAAAAATATAACTAGTCTGGGTTGGAAAGACATTGTTTCTGTTGAAAATCAGTACTACCAAGTGTAAGTTTTATTTGTTCTTCACTGGAGTAACTAGTACTGGGGGCTGACTGAGACAAGATATGGTATCAGTCACTACTAAAAATAATTTTTTTTCAAGACAAAGCAGGTAAAATGAAACTATTTTTCTGTATATGTTATGCAGACAAAAACTTGATTAAAGTGGGATTTTGAACTTGTATTTATCTTCATGGAAATTATTCATGTGAGGAATTTACTTGCAGATCATCTAATCTAGTTGGGAGGCAAAAGGCAACACAGAAACAGTAGTTCAGGGAATAAATGTGGAATTTACTACATCTTGTGAAAAACTGTGCATTTTCTATGCCTTCAGTGTACTGACTTTAAGATTCAGAGAAAACATATGCTAGAACTTCCGCCGATGAAATTAAATACATCTACAGAAATGCACTTGGAAAACAAAAATCCCTCTCTCATTCTCTTGGAAAGAAAAGATATTTTCTTTACTTTTTTAATCCAGCGAGAAACCTCAGCAACAGAATGGTGAGTAGCTGGGTTGTGAGAATGTGAGCAGCTGCTGTTATTATAACTAAAGGTCTGTCTACGGCTTGAGCCTGAGAGACCACATGTTCGGCTGTCCTCTCATCTTGCCATCCTCACCAATTAACTATTAACATGGAGGGCTGTACACATGCTCTCAGGGGCTCTTTAACAGGCTTCTTGGAGAGTGGAACAACTACACAGCAGGGCTCTGGGAACTGAGTAATGTGGGGTATAAGGAACCCTCAGCAGCTTTGCTCCTCCTAATGACAGTTTTCTCCATGGTTTAGTGCTTAAGGAAGGGTACATGAAGTTTAACAATTTAAAAAAATATAATGCGCTCATTTGTTTAAGGCTGCTAAGAAAAGATTCTCGAAATAATGTTTCCTTTTTTTTTAATTCAGAATATTCTAGTACTTATTGTAAAACAATTATTTTAAAAATAAAAACTCAGCTAATTAAAAAAATGAGACAGAATTTCAATCCTAACTCCATACAGATTGATTTATATGGAATTCATAAACACAAAATCAATTTCCCAGGTAAGTTTGCAACAAACAAAAAACTTTCATCTTTCAGTTTGTTTCTTAGAGATGCTTCTAGGCTAAAATAGGATCTCACCTTTCATTGACAGAATATATAAAAAAAGAATACAATGAAGCCTACTGTATCTCCCAACTACGGACAGGTAATTCCAATGTGTAAAAAGAAGGTTGTTAGCTTTACATTCACAAATTCTATTCATTGCAATAAAGTTCACCTATCAACCTTTTTGAAGGCAAACTGCCATCTAATATTTAATAATAGCTAAGTAAGGAGACAGAGGTTTGCACCTCAAGAGGAATATTCATACAACGTTGTGTTATCAGCTGTCAGCAGCTTCTGATTTTGCAGTTGGGAAAATTACTTTGATACCATAACTGGTTTGTTCCTGGTCCCAACACAAGAGGATATTAGAAGTAAAGAGTAAAGCTGTGTGTTTCAATTCCTGGCTTTAAAAACAACATCACACATCATCATAATGAGCCTGACAGATGCAGACAGTGAACTGAAATGTCTTGTATTAAACTCTAAACAGCGTTCTGATGGCAGTGGAAAAGCGCATAGGGCTGTTGTAAAAAAAATAAAATTCAGAAAGTGATTACTAGCAGGATTCTCTTTGTTTTTTTATAGTTTCTGAAATTTTGACAGATTTTCAGAACTTAGGGAAGTATAGAAACCCTACATGAAACATGAAATTATGTTTTAACTTTACCCTTCAAACAGTTTTCAAAATGTCCAAAATAGCATTTATTTTCTTATCACAAACTTTAAATTTTTGCTAACTGATGTGTCAGCTATGACATACAGCAAAGACAGCATTCCTACCTGGATAAGGTGAGAGGGCATTGTGATGATGCAGGCTGACAGAGATTTTCTGAGGAGGCCACGGAGAACATACAGAAATTTTGTAAGGCTATGAATATCTTCAGGAGTATCACTGCTACAAATGTCATCACCCCACAATATGGAACCCAGGCTCTGAATTCCTATCCGCAAAATATTATTCTGTTTTTTCTATTGGAGGTGGAAAAAAAAAAAAAGAAAAAAAGGCACTTGTTATTTTTTAAACATTAAGAGGAAAATGTCATGTAATAAGTTTTGGAGCATCTCTCCTATGATGAAAGGCTGAGAGAATTGGGCTTGTTCATCCTGGAGAAGAGAAGGCTCCGGGGAGACCTTATAGCACCTTCCAGTGCCTGAAGGGGCCTACAGGGAAGCTGGAGGGGCACTTTTTACAAGGGCCTGTAGTGACAGAACAAGGGGTAACGGGTTTAAATTGAAAGTG